TATGATCGATTGAAATATTGAAATATTATTTGTATATCTTAACTCCGAGAGGCATACCAAACAGAATGAAGATATGCCAAACTATAAGAGTAACAAACTGTGCTTTCACATGGAGGAGTGATGATACGACAAGGACGTACATAACAATTAGACGACGAAAGTGAAAGATGATAAAACTTCCTAGTCATCATCAGGATTTAATTTTGATATGAGATAACTGTTCAGCTGAAGCAGCTCTCTTAAACCAACTCAGTTAGGAAGCGATGGCTTCATACCGAAATGTTTGAAAACTTTAATAGTTATTGCTTTCCCTTGTGCATCCTAAATTAATATGTTCGCGGTTCCAGTAAGATGATTCGAATCATCCAGAGAGTTTCAAAAAAAGGCAGCGGGTTCGAGCCCTGCATATCCATTAAATAAACTTTCATGGCAGACCTTCTTGCATGAGGTCGACCGAAAGGTGGTCTATCAGTCAGTTTGGATTTCGAAGTTCCATGTCGCGATTTCCAGGGTCATGCAGAAGACATTTCCAAACCAAAGAGCTTACGATCATTAGATCCAACGTGTCTCCTCGGGCTAGGGGCGCTCAAGCACTCAAGCTCATAGCACTACGTATCATCAATCCCGTGAACCACCCATCTGATGGAAGAACCTCATTACAGCAGCTTCTACCCGCGACCTGATTCTTTCAGCAATTATCCACTGGTCATTAAGTCGATAACTTCAATGACACGTTCCTAAATTCTCAGAAAGGAAATAGCTATAGAAAAACCTGTTGATCAATATCAGGTAATACCTGAAACATCGAAATATCTTGATTTGCAGAACATGACAATTCCAATCCTATTTCCTCCCTATGCTAAAAGGTACGAAACCGATTGTTTTACAGTTCAATAGGAGAGAGATTGCAAATTTTTATATTCCAAGTGTCATGGACTCCATGGAAATGGAACATAACGTAGGTAACTATTAGGGTGTCTTACAGAGCTATTCCCACCTGCACTAGCAACGATAATTACCAGAGGCGTAATCAATTACGTTTTCCTCTCCCCTTCTCTCCATAGCATTTAACTGTGAAGTATTGATAGTTCCTCTTCTTCACAAGATACAGGCGTAATGAGAACACACGGAAATTTAAAAAAGTGCGATTAGCTCCTGCTGCTATGGCGATCTTTCTTCGTTGTCCATTGATTGGCAAAAGTAATAATGACTCATCAAAAAGCCTCCCTTACGTTTTGCATATTTATTCATACTCTGCCATTTGGTCTCACATATTTATGCATATTGCAACTCAGATGAATACCAAACGTTGCGGTCCTGTTTACAAATATAATAGTTATCCAAGTAGAAGACCACAAATGAAGTCATTATTTGAGCTCATAAGACGATAATGAGTCAGTCAAGTCAGAAGCACATAGAATAAGCACGTTATTTTGTCTGCAGTCTCTAACAATTCCATGATGAGTTACTCTGTAATTTCCAACAGGTACATCGTTCCGGTATACAGTACGTGACCCCGGTCCACACCTCCCGAATGACGACACAGAATCTGAACTTTCTCACAGAAGACAAACTGGACGTTTTGGTGAATGGGCCGAAAGAGTTCATCTTTAAAGGGGCTGCCGGAACCGGGAAAACGTGCTTGCCTCCCTTACGCTGACGACTGGAGGGTCACACTCGGTTTCCTCCACAAAATAAGTGAATGATATTTCTGGTAGGTTCATGGCCCACTTTCCTAGGCTGAGATATGAATTCTTTACAAAAAGCCATGAAAGATGCTCATCGGTTATATGTTGTCTACAGAAACCCAGTATCAATCTGAAACACGTGGTAACTCGCTCGGACTATACTCCGACATGAGCGGTTCCGACGACAACGACCTACACTATAAAAACGAAGAAATACGTTCCGCGCACGATATATATTTGAGCCCAAATCTAAAAAGCTGTCCATATCAAGTTCTATTCTAGCCGAAATTATTGGGTTGGGGGGGGGGGGTTCTAAAATACAAATTTCGAAGCGAAATGTGTTGGTGGCATCCCCATCGTATTCGCAGAACAAGCAGATTTCCAAGCACACGGCGAGCGACTGAGGAAGGAAATTAGAAAGAAGCTGCATCATTGCTCGAAATTAGCCGCGCATTTGTTCACCAAGCTGAATATTTAATGAGAAGAAGGCCTCGATCGTTTTATAAGGCACAAATGGAATTCTGAATAGTTAGGGAGAGTTTCACCAAGACGAATCAAGAGGCACCTCCCATCTCGTTATTCTCGTCGTGGAGGGTAGTGAAGTTGTAAACACAGCCTTAAAGAGGGAACTCTTCGAGTTCGGTCGTTCATTATTGCCAAATATTGTCAAAGTAAGGCATGGGAAATAGGACAAATAAAATGAAATTAGCCCCAAAAAAGTATGGTTGCCCAAACCTTTTTAGGAGTCGGCAGTAGATGTTTACCCTCCTGTCGTGTATTTACAAGAAAGGGATCATGAATTAAGGATATTAAAAAAGGTAATATTCAGGAAATATCTGAGTGACGAAGTGTCCATCACGAAGAATGAATCGCGATCCGTTATTTATATTCTTTTCGCAAAGATCACAGCAGAGGAAACATTGATCCAAGAGAACAACCCCAAGTGAATAGAAATAATTATAGAGAATAATAAACGAAACTCTGGATTCCATGAACTGGAAACAGTACAGACCGGTGGGTGTAAGTTTGAACATATATTTATTTTCAGGGTGCCTGAAAGCACCCAGTATTTCAATGACGTCTGGTTTCAAGACCAACGCCACCTTCACTTGAGTCACGCCAATGGAAACCTTTGGGCTTTTCAGCGAGGAAGATCTACCAGAAAACTTATTTCCAGGATCTAGCAACTCATGAAAAGTTTTGGGTGGAATTTTTGTTCCATCTGTTCGGTTCAATGACATTTGGACATGCTCTTGCCTTCACCATGGGCGAAAATAACCATGTTTATAATACGATACCGATATTGAACAGGAATTCGTGATCAAGGGCAGAACAGTACACTATACGAACGTGGAAGATAAGGAATGACATCGTCTCTTTTCACCTTCATGCTATGGAAGCATGTCACAAGCAACGTCGAGAGAGCCAATAAGTTCTGGAATACATGTATTTTCTTTCCTCTTTTTATGCTCATGATATGACAACTATAAACCTTTTTTAACTGTTATTTCGCTCGCTTTTTCATTGTATTTAGTAATATGGTTCTGCCCTGCAGTACACCTTAATTATTGCTGGGGAGACTTCTATTCCTGCTATGTTATTGAGAATTGTTCATTGAAACGTTCTCATTTCCATCGCATGACCCATATTAAACCTTTTAGTGCCAGGTGAAAGATATACCAAATTTTTCAGCCTACGAATCGACTGCGCGGCTCTAAAATGATTAAATAGGAGAGCGACCTCAGAGTAGCGAATCATATGCAGTGTGATATTCAGTCTTGTAGAAATATCTATAGTTTACTCGTAGCTGCGCGTTAGTCATCTCTGATCCACAATCTCCTTCCTAATTTTGTGCTATCATTTGACTGAGAGTCACCACATCTTCACTAACGTCAAACATTTTAATGTTCTTGATGAAGCAGCGCTGTTCTGAAAATAAATTTTGCATGAATTTCATGGCTATGACTGACATAAACGAAGGCCTATCGTTTAGAGGAATGTTTCCAAACTACGAGAAACCGGTTCAACTGAGAGTAAGAGAAGAAGAGGAAGTCTAAAACTAGCCGAAACTGAAGGAAATTGCTTTCATTTTTCCAAAACCATTTTTTTTCTCAAGATGTTCAAGAATCCTTGGATGCAAAATTCCAATATTCAAATTCCTGGATGAGTCAGAGGTCTGCTTAGCGGATTCTAGAGTGTGCAGGAAAAAAATTGAAAAAAATCCGTTTTGAGCGAGTAGGACAGGTCTTCCCGTCAGCGTTCTGGTGCGAATGCAGCGATTATTTTCCATTTGTTTAGCAAAACCTCTCTCTTAGTAAATCAATTGCGGCACGTTTTTGGTTTCGTCTCACCCGGTATTTCATGCGGGAGTTTATAAATTGGATGCATATGGGCAGGAGTACAGCCACCAGGCGAAAATGGGGTAACCTTATCCTTATCACTCTCTCGTGGGCGGTTTCAAAGATTAGATCGTCTGCACATGGAGAGGCGAGGCACATGTAATCAGTCTAACCAGTGCTTCACTGTCCCAGAGCATTACTCAACGACACGATTGTGTCGAGCACACTGTTCGTTTTCTTCATTCGTTTAGGTATTCTTGATTTGTGAATTCCCAAGTCATGTGAATAGGCTACAATATTGGCAGTTGAAAGTGAGGAGTGGTTCGACAAAAGTGTACACATATACGAACCCCTCGTATGTGCAGAATGGGGTTATTTATACACTGGGTTGTGATAAAGCAAGTACTAGCCATCCAACTAATTCTACTGTGAAATGACGGGATGGAGTCCTGTCACCCTTTGCAAGACTTTGCCTACCAGAATTGTTCTTTATTCTTATGGATATTTGGACTACGTCCACGGAAACGAGAAGTTGTTGAATCCTTCTCATATCCTGGACGCTACCAGTTCCCTCGAGCACCATCGTCAGATCTTCCTAAGTCTGTTGCTGCTGGGACCATTGTGTAACTCCAGTCCTGAGCGACACGCCCGTACAGCAGCCGTTTCATGTCGTTTACATCAACTGTTACAAGGAACCTAAAACAACAAGTTCTCGCATTGCCAGAAGACGCATTCGGTCATTAATCACACAGCAAGTTGATCCAGATTGTTATAAATATTCATTAATTGTCCTTCTACAACAGATCGCGATGCATTGGCCCGTTGTTAATGTAGGCATGGACTACCTTTAGCGGCTGCCGTCCTGGCGTATCGCACTGTAGGGAGTTTTATAAGTGTAGAGAGTTTCATAAGTCTAAAAACTACAGGCTAAGACGTATGTTACACAATTTTTTGGGGGGAAGAAGCATTGTTCATGATGTCAGTATTCCTACCAGCATTGCCACAACCCCAATGCCGACTATATGAAAATACAGGGTGTTAAGAAAGTTGTGTCCCATGGCAATATGCCAGTAACCTCTGCAAATATTAACAAATCAGGATTATTTTCATGCAAAATAACAAGGACAGTTAACTGATTTACAATCACTTAATAGTTTTAAATATAGCCGCCCTTGGCACGGATGACACGGTTCAGATGACCCATGAAAACACCGACTGATTTCGCAAGACTTCCTGTGGAATTCGCTGATTTCTTCCTTGAATCAGGATATCTTGAAAGAATCCAAAGAACGGTGCTTCGTAGCACACACTAGGCTCTCCAAGATGTACCAAAGTTAAAAATTAACGGTGTTGACATCGGATGGGGGGGGGGGGCAGGGTAAGGGAGCCATTGTGAAGTCACATGAAGTCGGGGACATTTGTCCGCAGTCACTCTTGGGTCATCCACACCTTGTTAGCTGGCGCTGAGTCTTTCTGGAAGACCCAGCTGCCTCCATCGAAATATTTCGGGGCCCACGGAATCAGGCAGTTTTCCAGGATGCTTTTCCGGTATACTTCATCGTTGACCTTCATCCTTTCATGCCCTAAAAAGAACGGAAGGCAGTAGTCCCCTGATCATTACAAAAGCCGCCCCTTGACACCGAGTGTTTCGAAAAAAAAAAATTACAAATTTTCAATTTGGTCCATCTTGGAGAGCGAAGTATGAGCTACAAAACTCCAATCTTCCGATTCTCTCAAGCTATCCCTAACTAAGAATGGGGGGGGGGAATTCCACAGGAAGAAAATCAGTCGATGCTTTCATGGGTCGTCTGAACCATGTCATATGTGCTAGGGTGGCTGTATTGAAAACTGTTACGTGATTCTAAGTTAGTTAACTGGCCTTTTGTTGTTGATGAACTTATTTCCTGATTTCTTAAAATTTTTCTGAGGTTATAGGCATATTGCGATGGGACAGAAATGTCTTATCATCCTTTACTTGGCAGTCAAAAAGTTGTGAGTGCCTTTAATTTTATTTTCCTTTCAGGCGATTATGAATGAACCGAAATGTTTCAGTATTCAGGGTAGAAGTGAGAATGGCTAGTAGAACATAAGCTTTGTAGTTATGGGCCTTGTCGGATTGATGTATCGTCTTTGGAAATTGTGAAAGCGAACATCGAACATTCAAGGAACTGCTGATATTTTTAAGGAGTGCTATACTCGTGGTCAGAGATAAACATCAAGCCTACGGAAATATTGTTCCGCTATCCATACTTCCCATCCCATGAAATCTGAATTTGTTATTTATTCATAATCACCTGAAATGAAAATGCTGAAAATCCGGATTTCATGTTTGGACCAGCTTGTATGACCTAATGGTTTGAAACACTGCCATTGAAAGAGGATACTGTTCCTTCCAGTCATTTCACAGTGATTACAAAAATTACCTATTACGCTATGCCAACATTATATATAAACAGATTTGCAATCATTTAATATATTCTCGTCTAAGGAAAGAATCAACTCCTTTTGCTAAAAGATCCGCAGTGGGCTCATGCCAATAATGGCGAGCGATGCCAGAAATAAGTGCCTTGAGGATGTCAGCCAACTAAAAGAAGATGTTGCTGGATATTTGGCCGAAACGGCTGATGCACGGAGTTTGTGGCTGAAAGATGCGAAAGAATTCATTAAAAGAACTTTTCCGGATTGGGAAACAGTAACACGAGTCGTTCCACCACTCAGTGCTGACACTAAATCATCAGTTGCATGTTTCCTGTACGAGTTGGGGAAAAAGAGTGGAGAGTATATGTGCATCATCTGCAGTCGAGATATTAAGCAATTGTTAAAAACTCGTTTTTCTGGCGGAGTTTACGAAAACTTGAAAATGATTCATGAAACCAATCATGATGTAATCATCATAGATCGACGCAGAGGCTTCTTTTACGTCAAGGTCTGCTATATCGATGAAAAGCAACAAGGGCGAACGGGAGGTCCGAAGTTTCAATTCGTTCAAGAAAAATGTGTCCAAGCAAAAAGAGACTTTGATATACTCAAGGCAATAATGAAAGAGGTGGGGATGGATAATAACATGGTTAAAAAATGCGTACCTTTCCATTTCCCTATCATCGCATTCCCAAATCTTCCAAAGGAAGAGATGTCACCTCATAATGCCTTGGTCATGTATGAGGGGGAGTGCTGTAGTCAAAAACATTTTGCAACTTGGTGGGATGAACATATTTTGAAATCGAAGACGAAGGAATCCAAGAAAAATGAGTCAAGTACAATGAATTCGAAAACTGAGTCCAAGAACAATGAGTCCATAGCCAAAAAATCGAAAACCAAAAAGTTAAACACGAGCAGGTTAGCAGCAAAAGCGTCAAGCACCACAGAGTCCACATGCAAGGAGACTGACATGAAGGATCCCATAAGCACGGGGTTTAATAAAAAGTCCAAATCCAAGGCATCCTCCGCAAAGAAATCCAAGGCTAAAGAATCAGCCACCGAATCCAAGACGATGGAGTCCAAGACGATGGAGTCCAAGACGATGGAGTCCAAGACGATGGAGTCCAAGATGATGGAGTCCAAGACTGGGGAAGTGAAGTCCGAGGAATCAAAGAGAAGGGGGTCAAAAACCAAGCAGCCAACGGCAAAGGCGTCTAAGACCAAGGGGCCCAAAACCAAGGAATATGCTTTGGATTCAGAAGCTCACTTGACCCTATTAGCAATGTAAACACCTTTCTCTCCTTCTTCAAGAAAGTTTTGACCCTTCATAAAATACCTCATGAGCCAACATTTCATTCAAAATCTTACATGCTTCCAGATGGATATTCATAAGAATCAGAACATGGATATCACGATAGCATGATAGTCATTTTCGCTTATAGTCTAAAGTAGTTTCTTCATATGCGGTGCCAAATAACTGAGTGTCCGAGCACGAACCATCGATCTTTCTTACGCGTGCCATTAGCCTTGGCGCACCAAACTCCTGCTGAATATGAATACGTACCTGGTTTATTTCATCTAACTCACGAGAATACCTGGTGTTTTGGGTATTTGGGTTTTAAAGGACGAATTTCACAAAATTGTTTTGTAAAGAACAGAAATATGTTGTATGTGACACCATGATATGAAACAATAAATTTCTGGACTTTACACCGCTGCTGATGATGCATACGAGACTTAGAAATATGTTAATTTCACGTCACATGTACCGGTTATATATTCCCGATAACTTCATTTCGCTCATTCGCAGCCGTATTACTGCATTATTTTTTGCACAATGTCGAATGTGCGAATGGCTATCTACGTCTGAGTGAGCAAGTGCCAAGGGGAGTAATATCCCGTTTAGCGTAAGCTTCCATCGCTCGTCCACTGACACCTTCCTTGCATTATTTGCGAGGAAAATGAATATAGTCCTAGCGCTTTTAACACGTTGACGACCAGCATATTTTTGCTTGTCCGCCGCGTGGAACCACGCGCATTTTTTTTGTCAAAAAATGCGTCCTGCCATCAGTTTCATTGAAAAAAAATCTGCATCCTGGCATCAGGACGCATTGTCGCCAACGTGTGAACGACACGCTTAGAATGCATTTTTGTTATGAATGAATACATAAATTACGAGTAATACCGTGCACAGTCCCTGATAATGCTTAGCTGTTCTGTCCATCTGGATGCATGCGTAATAAGTACTACTTGTCAACCGGTTCAAACATTTGCAAACCGGGGTTCTCCCGGAAATTAAAAGGAAAATTAGAGAAGTACCTAAATTAGAGCAATTACAAAAGTTACGACTGCACATTTACGATTAATAGAATTTACCATATGATCCGTGAGATAAATGCAGCCCTGGTGTTTCATATCTCTTCAGTTGCTAATCATTTCATGTGAAAAAGAGAACTATGCATTGATTTCGAGAGCCTAATATTAAATATACCTTTTGAAACAAGTGTAGACTGGTTTTCTTAATTTGTCGGAATTATGAGGCATCCGTATATGAGAACATAGTTACGTCAAATATGTGACTAAATGCTGCTAAATATAAATTGTATATTTTTATCAATTCGTGTCCGTTTGAGATACTCATTAGAGGATTGTTAATTAATCATTTGCAGCGAACTTATTTTCGACGTATTCCATGCTTCACAATATCTAGAAATCCATCAAATGAACTTAGAATAATATCTCTTCATTGGCATTGTTCAATATGAATAATCGAATCAATGTATCTGCTAACTCGGCAGATCCTGCGAACCAGTATGTAAGTCATTGCGTGTGCATATGTCGTCTTGTCATGATATTTTGAATTGTTTGTTTCGTTTACTTTTCAAGATTTGGGGCTCCTCTGTACGCAACTCCTGTATTGGACAAGAACGCAATAGAGTTCCAGTTTATTTCTAAAAGGAATTTCACAACGTTGGTCAATGGACCGACAAAGTGCGTGATCAAAGGCGATCCAGAGACAGAAGAAAAGCTATTGAAGGAGAAAGTGCGGAACATCGTAACGAAGTGGTTCTCTCAGAACCCTTTTGGCACATCTGTAAATGGCCCCAATGTGAACTTAATCACTGAACCTGAACGTATCCTCATAATTAGTCCATCTGAATCTCACATGGAACCTCTGAGAAGAACAATCCCAGAATGGATCACGAGATCTGTTATGGATGTCTATTCCACATGGACCACAAAATCGGCAGAGGAAAATAAGGAGATCGTCGAGGACACTCTTCAGAAGAGTCTCGCCTTTTGTTTTCTTTCTCCTCGGGAAAATACCATGGATGAGATAAAAATACGTTCTGAGGAAAATCCAGATAAGGGAAACACGGTTGACAAGATGTCCATTAAAGTCACTGATGGCGAGAATGGAGGGCATACCGAACAATCCCTGGGAAATTCTTTGGCAATTGAAGATTCCTTAACGATAATGAAACTGTTGGAAAGCATTGTTAAAGTTCTGCTTCCGAGTTTCATTAGCACTGTCTCTCCAGATGAGGAAAAGGAGGTACACGAAGAAATAGTGGATCATGAGTACAGGAAGCTTCAAAACGAAGATTCCCGGGGAGATTCCGAGGTTGAGGACGATTCTATGGAAATGGACGGTCATGGAGTCCTATCCCTTGGGATTGGGAACTGCTTGATGAAAAACAGGGAAATACAGGCTGGTCAACATGATGACAAATTTATGGTGGACATTTTATCCCCTGAAGATTCCTTAGAATTGAAGGAATTACTAAGGCGCCTAGCAGAAATTGATCTCATGAGAAGCTTAGCAAAAGCAGACTTGCTAGTAGACCAAGAAGACAGGGATGAATATGGAAAAGACAATGAAGCCATGCGCAACAATGAAGATTCTGAAAATGAATCAACGGCTGAGAAACGTGACAAAAGTTCTACGGAGGAACCAACGACAGGCGATAAATGTAAGGGGAAAGAAGATCCGTTAATTAATAGGGTTCCTTGCAATGACGCAGAGAACTGCTATGGAGAAAACTCCGTTAAAAATATAAGTGAACTTGAAATGAAAGAACGCTCAAAGAAGAGGCTTTTAAGTGAAATTACTCTGATGGAGAGAGCATTGCTTGCCCAGTTTATTCAGGCATCATTCCTGAATGATGGGGGGAATGATAGTAGAGAAGTCGGAAGCAATGGAAAAAAAGGGCAAGCAAATAATCAAGTAAAGGAAGAACCAGCAGGTGATGGAAACATTTTGAAACTGAACGATGGACTCCACCATGGAACCATCAATGCTGCCCCAGAGAATATCGACAGAACAAATATGAATGATGACATTTTTCATTTAGGCGATCGATCTAAAGTTACATCTTCCTCATCACCGGTGATAGAATTGAAGGAACTGCCAAATCGGATGAAAAATGATTTAATTTCCTCCCTCCTGGAAGGAGACTCTGTGGCCAAAGTAGTGGACAGCAGGATAAACTCCAGGAATACCATAGAGGCGTTGGACACTCCTAAGTTGGAAGCATTTCGGAAGGATGGAAAGACGTTTGATCATATATTTGTGATTGGTGTCCGGAAGCTTTCCGAGAATGATAATTTCCACTGGATCCAAGATCTATGTTACCTACACCGGGGACATGCTGACGGATACTTTTGGATCTTCAACCAGAAAGATGAGCTCCCGGGGCACATCTTTGAGGAACTCAAGCGTTCATTTCCAATGGAAGGTTGGCATTTTCATGATATATTCATGGTACAAGTGCAAACCTGTATATTCATATAATCGCAACTAAGGGTAATTTCAATTTCTTTGCTGAGATTTTTGTTCAAAATGTCTTAGTCTACAGTATGAGGATGGATAACATGAAATTTCACCAATGAAAGAGCTTGAGGACACAGATAATCCGTTATTGTTATGCTTCTGAACTCAAAATAAATTACAATGTTATGACTTTCCTTAACATGGGTCCCATCGGAATGTCATTGCATGTATCCTCTCTTTTATTAAGAAAATTTGAGGTTTTAAAAAACAGTAATTTTTGCTGCTGGAGATTAATCGCATCGGCGGGGACGATATTTATAAATACTTCGATATAATTTATCTCGTCACCATGCTCACTGATAATGGGAAATAGTGAGCGAAAATACGTTTTTAAGAATGAAATATAATTGCCAGCTTGAAATCATTTGAAGTTATGGCGTAGTCAGGCGACCTTTAAACTCGAATTTCAGGGTCAAGGAATCATCTGGAAGCTCGTTCGCCTTCCGCATGATATAACCCTTTCAACTCACTCCAGTGTGGGAATAATTGCCTGAGTCAAATTATTTTTCTCATAGCCTTCTCATAGACATACTTCTCTCATACCTTGCGACCTCAAGGAACATCACATCGGAATTCACTCCATATTTCTTCTAAATCGTCTAACTAGGAGGTGTACGAGTACTTTTCTGTATGAGTATGAGGTATGAGTACTTTTCATACCTGGTCGGACTTGCTCTCTTTCGCAAATTACCTATATGACATGAGTTTGCTGCTAGTTAAAGGTGTCATGGAAATTGAATATAATGGAGTGCTGGAAAAACATGACAAAATTGGATGGGATTTGTTCCTATTCAAGTACGACATATGAACCAAGCACAAGTCTCAATTTTTATTGGTCGTTTAGAACTATGGTTGCCAATACAAATGGTAAGTGGTGCTGCCACAGTCACACAAGTATGACAAATGCCACACGTATTCGAAACTGTGTTTAAAAATGCGTTCCCTGTTCAATGCCAATGAACATTCTTATAATCCTGGCATGGAGCGACACTAAGACATAATATAGAGTGGGACACATTCACAATGCCTTGCCAATGTCATCCACTTAGCGCAGATCCTTGAGCTTCCTAGAGGGATGTCAGTGAACGTATGCAACATACATCTCAATAAGCTAGTAAATGTGCCGAAGTTTACAACCCTCGCCCTCGTCAGGCATGTCACGCGATGCTTACATTAGTCAGTGGAAAAAATCACTTTTCAATCAGAAAAGTACCAACACCATAGGACTTCCCACCGTAAGTAAATTATTTCAGGAGTTTTCACGTCACTTATGAATGAGGAATCATAAAAACGTTACCAGTCCATATTTTCAAAAAGATACTATGTCTTTTAAAAAGGGATACTGTTGCCACGCTGAAATAGTTCAGTAGAATAATGACAAAGGATTTTGAGTTCTAATTCGTATTTCTGCGAAGTTAAATAATATTACTGTCTTACTTAAGAGCAAGCGATTAAGCGATAACACATTTGTGTGCTTATGGACCGACCCTTGTGTAGAGTATGTTAAGAAATGCAGATGCATATACCAACTGTGAAAGTAAGCCATTGTCATTGACGCCTTAAATAAACGTACTGTATATATACCTTGTTCGAGCATAAGGTCATTTAAAGAGGTAATTTCAGTAAGTGATGCTGATGCTACTCAACACCATGACAGCTTAATTTAGGCATTTGACAGTCATGGAAAATGGAATAATCCCAATGTCAAGTTTCTTTACAAAATTAGTACGGGAATGAGCAATTTATAGATAACACTGAATAATCATTTGTCATCTACTTTGTAAGGGAATGTGTTCAAGGTACTTGGTTAAGTGTACTTGTTCCTTCATTCCAGTTGTGACAGCAACGAATGATATTGAATCAGTTCAGGAATCAACGGATGAAAGTGAATCTGTTCAGGAATCGACGAACGAAAGTGAATCAGTCCAGGAATCAACGTGGCTCTATCAAGCTCAGGAACATATCAAGAATATATACCGAGATTGGGACAGTCCACAAACAACTCGCCTCGTTCCTCCAGTCGAAGACATAAATGAATGGATCAATGCAGCAAAGTCTGCTGGGGAAGAGTCTGAAAGAACCCTACTTTGTCATTTATGTGAAATGGGGAAAATAAACAAAATGCCAATGTTCATCACATATAACCGTAACTTTGTCCACCTTATAAAGAGAAGAAATGAAGGGGGTGGACTTGAAGGCATCCTAGTATGCGGAGAACACGATATCGTGCTGATACATCGCAACATTGGAGTAATCTTCATTCAAGTTAAGAATCTTGATACTGAGCAGACAGGACACAAACTCACAAAAGCATTGGAGAGAAACATCCAAACAGCTGAAGAGCAACTTGAGAAAGATTTGCGCAGTCTGGAGGCTGCCACGAGAGAATGTGGATTAAAAGGTATGAACGTATCGCTCCGTATCATAGCACTCACAAATGCGAAAAGAGATCAAGTAGCAGGAACATCACATTGCGCCAATACTGTATTCCTCTGCGCCGAAGACAATGAATCAGCAGAGACCATGGAACGATGGTGGCATCAACATATTCTCCAGTCGCAACTTGCTGAAATCCCTCCTATTGATTCCAGAACCTACCTTCAGCTAGTGGCAATGTAAGTCGTTTTAATGGTATTTAATGATTCAACAGGGATAATTATGCGGATTGAGTTGAGTTGTAAGTCTTGACCAACATGTCACTTAGATATGGTATACTAACATTTTATTTTTTCCTCAGATACATCGCCCCTATATATGCAACCCCGGCCTACACTGCGCGATTGACGATTGATAGGTTGAACTTCCTAACTGCAGACAAACTGGACATGTTGGTGAATGGAGCAAAGGATTTTGTCTTTAAAGGTGCAGCTGGGACTGGGAAGACATGGTTACTCCAGGAAAAGATCCGAAACATCTTCATGTCATGGTTCTCCGATGGACCCATCACGGACAAGGACGAAAAGATCCTGCTCGTCTGTCGAAATAACCTACTTACCTCGCACTTGCGTAAGACGATTCCCGACCTCCTTCTCACGTCCGCCGCCGCTGTGCTCAGGAGACAGAACGAAAAGGAAAAGGAAAAAGACGAAATGCAGAAGGTACGGCAGATTCTATGCAGCAATCTCTTCATTTGCTCCTTGGAGCCTTACGAGCAAGAATTAGGGGTTAGTGTGTTGAAAGGGAAGAAGGCAAACGACGAACTAACAGACGTAGAATGCAAAGAAGATGAATATAACGATCTCCAGAATGAAGGTCTCGTATCAAAGGTGAGGAATGCAACATGGGAGATTGTTATACTCTTTGAGATCCTCGGAAGATCAGTGGCAGTCATGTCACCTGGAAATAGAGGAAAATGGCCACTCAAGGCTTTGGTCATCGGACGTCTCTTCCAGTCCTTCAGTCCGTCAGTTGAAGCGCTGAAGTTCTTGGCTTCTACCATCGAAGTCATGGCATTTAAGGAAGCTAGTGCATTTCAGCTCTATTTAGAAAGATACGTCGGTCCATCAATGCTTGGAATCACTATGAGGTTGTCTGTGTGTTCAGCCGTCATCGCAGAAATGCCTGCAGCGATGCAGCACGACCTACTCGTGGACATGGAAAGTATCATGAAGACCAGAAAGCCAGCGTTCCACCACATCTTCGTCGACGAAGCTGAAGACTTGTGCGATGCTTTTTCTGACCACTGGTTGACCTCGCTCCGTCACCTGCACAAGGAATGTGGAGGGTACTTTTGGAGGGCCTATGACCCCCTTTCCTTGCCAGAGTTGCCGGTTACGTTGAGGAAGGAGATTGGCAGTGCTCGTTCTTTACTTAGAGTGATGAGAAACCCGAGATCAGTGTTGGACACCTGGACTGGAGATGAGGATTCACTAGCAAGAGACGAAGACTTGACACGTTCAAGCCTTAGCGACCCAAAGTATAAAAGGGAAGATATTCGATCGGGGCACGATGTGCGGGGTCCCAAGGTGTTAACGTTTGACGTCCCCAGTTCCATCCTATCCGAAGAGATCCAGAGGAGCCTATTAGATAAGTTCGGGAATTGGAAATACGTCAGGGACGTCGCCATCCTCTTCGCTGACCCAGCGGATTTTTTTATACACGGGGAACGGCTGAGGAAGGAAATGGAGGAGAAAAGACGGGATTCTTCCGGACCCATCTTCATTCACCGTGTAGATTCCTTCAAGGGAATGGAAGCTGCGATCGTGTTCTTGATTACTAACGAAAAGGCAAAGAGGGGGAGCAGGTTCTACATGGGAGCATCACGCAGCACCTCCTACCTCATTCAAATCTCCTTAGAACCTACCGTCGAAGAGGATGCAGCTGCCGAGACGTCACTCATGGAGGGTGTTCTTAAGGCCTTGCCAGATGATGCGCCTGTTGAAGAAAAGAACGCATGGGAAAGCAAATGCCGCCGCGTTCTTCTCATGAAGAATTTGTAGATTACGGTAGCCATAGGCGTCGGTGGAAGTTACAGATGACCTCTAGGTTTTCTTCACTACGCCATCTTTGTATGACGTGAGGAGACTCAGATCTGATATTCCTGGAAAAATGCGCTTCTCTCCCATCGGTGATGATTTGAAAGAGTCCTCATTTTCCTCCCTCTTCTATCTCTCTAAAACTTGGGAGAATCTGCCCCAGTCTTCATGAGAAGTATAGTATGCATCGCCCAGTCCATTCTGACATAGATCCTTCTCATTCCCGTGGCAATGATTCATTTTCATGCCAAAGTTCCCTGGAACACGTTGAAAGTCCGTGAAACAATTGACGTTGTACTTCATCAATCAATTTTTTTTGGTTTCAGGAATGTTTGAATAATGGTCAAATAAAGCTGGGGCAACCTGCATTCCTAAGCGTTCCTTATTAGTACACTGGACGTCGTTCCCGTGTTTCCTGAGGACACATATTAAAATTGGTGAAGTGCCTCATTTCACTTTCCAGACACAAGTGCCAAACATGATGTGGAAGTTATTTGAAACCAACCGGTTTCAACCAACATCTCATCCGACAATTATGCCAGATCATGTGGTGAAAAAGGAAAATAAGTAGGGGACAGAGAACCTACTCTCAGGGATGTCGTTCAGATCGCCTCATTCCCACGGGCGAGTAGTGAGGCGATTTATAACATGGTTAGATTGCGATCTGCGTGCACTGCGGAAGGCGGTTGTGATAATACGAACCGAACTAGAATAAATCCCGTAACACGAGGGACAATTCTCAGCAGAAGCAAATGGGAATAATTTAAAATGAGAAATCTCAATTCTATTTTTCTTCCCACCACTTGTCTCAAAATGAGACTTCCCAAGGAGAGGGTCTCCAAACTTAGGTCTATCTGGGCATGAGACGGTGTAAAATACCTGTTGTACCCTTTAAATGCTGATGTGTATCCCATGAACTGTTCCTCTTTGCTCATGGGACATAGCTCTATCTCCCCTTTACAGCTGCGATTCAAAGAATGTGCGAGTAGTAGTTGCAATGGTGGGCAAAATTTCTAGCCTCACTACACAATAGAGTAGGGCTTCCTTGGACAGAAATGTATTACTTCTATAGCTACTGCAATATTAATTTCATACCACTGCAATTTTTGTGCAATACAAATAAGATTCTAATATTAACTTTTATCGCATACGTTTTTTGCTGCGTTCCTTCTTGGAAACAGGTAGATATTATGTGACGATGAAAGTAGCGTCCATATAACATTATATGCGAATTTAAAAAAAAAATATTTTTCCGGGTGTCCGGGTGACTGACTCCGCCATGACCTTCCCCATTACGGGGTCCACTTTCCTCGCGGAGAAAGACTCAGACAAAAGGAGAGCAAGCAGTGACCTCCGGTATCCTCTCATCGCCCCTTAAAAAACGTCTGCCTGCATCCACCTGGTCCATCTCATATCCACCAGGATATGAGATGGACCAGGATATGAGGCGATTATCCCCGGGTGAATTTTTTTAAAAACCAAGTTGACATTGCTTCAGCAAAAAAAACTTTGTTTTATAGAAATGACGCTTAGACATCAATTGCAGCATGCGTCAGGTTCACCGATAAGTTGATGCATGCTCCTAGTAGATCCATCAAGAGGGAGAAATGATTGGGAGTAATGCATATGCAACATTAATGAAGGACACGATTCTGGAAGAAGCCCCCTATTTTTTCCCATATCATATCTACTCATGAAAAAATCATGAGCGATATGGCAGAGAACGATTATGCCCTTCTCCCTCCCACTCCAAAAAACATTAAGGTCGCCCAATAGGTGCCCATTCGTCGTGTGTACAGTAGCAACTCCCAATAACATATTTACACTGGACAAATCGTTGCGGGTGAGGGTTGACGGCCTCGCGTGAGCACGTAATGGCGAACATGGTGTTTCCCCTCAAAAACTGCGCATTTTATCCTCGTATCTAATAATAAAGGATATAGTGCCAGTTTGGGAAGGACACATTACCGTTTGATTTTTCTCCTCTCACATCCAAGTATTTATTCTGAGATCGTTGAAGTACCATTAATAATGGGATATCATTGGGTCTGTAATAGAGACTCAGGACCTCGTCGCTTCCGACTCCTACGCCCCCTTGATCGCAAAACAAGGAACACAATTGCCGGAAACCTTTCTTAGAAGCCTTCATGGCTAGGGTCGAATATCTAGAAGGCATAACTAACATGATGCAAGCAATGTTGTAAAATGCTATTTATAACTATTATCTCTCCGCGCTATAGATATTAAATCAAAATACAACTGGTGCGTTCACTTGCTGGACCGATTTTGCAGTATTATTCTGAATCGCCATATCAGCCCACAGTGATTGAAATGGTGGCGAATGTGTGGATACTTTGAAAATAATTGGAAAATGTGTTTCCCACCTTAAACGTCACAATACCAGAGCCTGAAGAGTCTTATGGGATCGCAGTGCGCATGCTTCAGACCAAAGGGAATCAGTGCCATTTGCCACCTTTTCCCTTTGGTCCAGCTTCGATCCTTGTTATTTCAAACGACACATCATTGGGTTCCTTGAAGAGTATCAATTATTTCGTGATGTACTTTAAATAATTTCAATTATCAGGAATGATGAAAAATATATAATAAAGATTCGGAATTAAAGCATGGAAAAAAATAATTATTTTCGAGAAAAGCCTTCTCCGATGATCAAAACCTTTGACGTAACTCTTTTATTGAGTTTATGAAATAAGTTATTTTTCGTCAGAGCAATTTGAAAAAAGTGTAGACTCAGTTCCAATGCATGAGTTAACATATATGCTTCATTATTTTCACTCTGGAACTGGTAATCTACTCAGAGAAAACATGTGGGCCTATTGGTATGCCTTCGCCGTAGTTGGATGGTCATCTATTATTACATAATCATATAATATGCCCTCAGTCAACTCTTCCTCTTCATGCATTTGCATTCCTAGTGCACCCTGACTGGGACAGGGCTGGATAGAAAAATGGCGATATCTCAATACCCTAATAATTTTGAAGGATGATTTGAGGACAAGATCCAAGCATGGCAGAAGTGCTCCCCAAGCACTCTTCAATTGGGAAGTTTTTCATATGGCAAAAGAATATGTCCATGTATCGTTTGATGATATAGCAGGATGCTGATTGTATTGGGCCAAGTAGCAAAGTTTACCCAACAGTGCATTTTGTGCGAAAGTAAATAATATGAACAATGACGAACATGGTGGAAAAATTGCATCGGTGTTCATTTCACATGTATAACATATGGACATTCTCACTTAGTATATACGCGTTAAAAATTATCCATGTGATGAGAGATTACTGTTTTAAAACTGCCTGATGTTGGAGTCAATGACTGCAGATATGGTCATTCATGCCCCACAAAGCTTAAAAGAAAACTGCGATGATGTAAAGTGAATAGACATAACAATGTTTGTATCTCAACAATGTGATATTCCAATGAGTTTAATTTGTTTTCATTCGAACTTAGATATGGAAAGTTTCACTTATATATAAATCAAATACTGTACTGGGTTCTGCAGATAAAAAACTAGTTATTCATACTAGAAATAATGATCAGGAAAGACGTTCGCGAAGCTAGACAAAATATTCAAACGTGTTTTCGAACTGTATTCTGACAATGGCGCCGAGAAAGCTTTTCGGAATATGGGAAGCAGTTCAAGCTAATCTGATCATATTGAATATATCTCTAACAGGGAGATGAAATTAGCCTAGAACGAGAAGCAAGATAAATTCAGGAACGTTTTTGTTGCAAACTTTGAGTAAAATATATTTGCGTGTTATAATGATGCAAACGTTCAGCCACTGAATTTTCCCAGGAAAAATGGACTACAATTAGTGTCAATCGCTTGCACACTATCAAGTAAATTTCCGTTAACATCCATTCTGATAATCTAAACATTTTTTAAATGAGCTATGGAAGTAAATAATTCAGAAAGAAGTATTTATTTCGTGAGTACCATACTCAGTTGCTTTCATGAGCGGGATGAATGCATGACAATGAATATTAATTACTTCATATGTTATACTCAAACTGCTTCCCTTGTTTTTCTGGGAGTGAAACTTGTTTCGCTTCTTCTCACATCAATATATTTAAATAGCAAATTGGAAGTTGAAACAACAATAGTATGCACCCCCCAAACATCGCAACGGTATAATGAATTCATATTTTAAATTTGGTTGCAAATCGTTGGGGCGCGAATTTTCCCTTGCTGGGGCAGTAAGAGATCAGGTGTAAGGGACAGCCACCACGAGCAGCTTTAGACCGCCGCGTACTGGTGTGCAGGAAAAGCAAGGAAGAGTTGACTCTTCCTTGATTTTTGTGTTTCTACGCAAATCCACGCAGCATACGTAACGAAATGGACGAGCTGGACAACGATTTCGATATCATCGGAATTACTGAGACTTGGGGTGGTTCTTATATTTCGGATAAGGAATTCGAGATTCAAGGGTACGACATCATGCGGAAGGATAGAAATGGGAGAGGAGTCGCGTTGTGCCCTAAAACTGAACTGGGCGTTCGCGTCAGAGAGGATTTCTCCTCTCTCTCTGGATGAGTAAATGGTTGACAGGAAGAGAGCAAAGAGTAATAGTAAATGTGAAACATCGACGGAGGTCGGTATCGTAAGCGGGCTCCCTCAGGGCTCGGTCCTAGGACTACTTCTGCTTCTGGACTACATAAACGAATTGGATCCAGGCGTAGAGGGTATAATAAGTAAATTTGCAGACGACACCAAAATAGTTATTTCTTTTAAAGTGTAAGCAGATAGGGCTAGAGTAGAGGGCGATTTGAGAGTTTTGGATTAGTGGAGCAAGAAATGGCTCATGAGGTTCAATGAAGTTATATGTAAAGTTATCTACGTCGGTCGAAATTACGGTAGGTCTCTCGCCGCGACTGGCTAGGATAAACTGGGAGAGGCAAACCGAGAGAAACACCTAAGAGTTGCTATCGACAAAGACCTCAG